CAGAGGAAGGTGCTTCAATTTATATATATTTTTTCTGATAACAGCTGTTCAAAATGTTAAGATTTAGAGATCATTAAAACCAAAATATAAATGCAATAGTAATTGAGACAGTTGAGAATTGTAATGAGCGTTACGTCAGATTATAAATACGAATTTAATTCCACCTTCATTGCTCTCTTCTCGCTCACCTCTTCAAAGAAAGAAATAATAATTATTATCATGATCATGATGATGTTACGAATTTTTATTTTCTTCTTTCATTTTTATTTTTTCTTCATTACACTACTTGCCATGTCTTTAAAAGACTCCATTTCTCTTCTTATCATTCACTAAATGCCACCTTTCTGTTGCCGCTTTCCAATTTTAGCAATCTCATCTTTCAAAGCTCCATGTTCCCTTATTCAATTCCTACGTCCTACCTCTCCTTTTCCCTCAATTATAACGAGTCTTTGATTAACATTCTACCTTCATAGAGTTTATAATTTATAACCCCACATACAACCAAATTAGTTCGATGGTATTAACATCATTTAGGTTATTGGAATTGACATCAACCAAAGTGCAATGATTTTTTTATTTCTTTACGTGTAACTTTTGTATAGAGTTATTAGAGAACGCTCAACCGCTAGGGAAAAGACTACTCGTAAAAATATTAACATGTTCTGGTTTTCGGTCCAAGAAGAACTATATGAATCTTTTTTGTTTTTGGTCGAAAACTATATATGGATCTAAGGTTAGACGATTAGGATTTGTTTTTGCTAAATAACGATTAGGAATTAACAATATTAGACAACGGTTTAGATTTAAGAGTTCGAGAACGGTTCTTGTTAAAACTACTAGTTCCATCTAGTCTAATGGCTCATCTAAATAATCACATTCATGTCGGAGATTAGAGAAGTGTATATGTGAATTTCACGATGACGAGGAGACATGTGAATTGTGAGTGATGAAAAGACGATCGAGTTAGATTAGATTGGTGTTTGGAGGGACAGAGCCAGAGGAGAATAGTAGATTTGGTGTGGGCCCATTCGCATATAAGAGGCCCACCAAAGATATTTTAGGACCAAGAGATATATTTTGATCAACAAATACACAAAGCAAAACTATTAGAAACGTACTTATTCGCGCATGCAATTGCACGTCCACCAAAGTTCAAATCTAAGAAAGCATGCAGAACCCATCCCTACTTTTGAATTTGACAAACATGTCTTGTGAAGTTGTGATAATTTTCTTGATGGATATATGTCTATATTTAGCTTAGTTAGTTTCTTTGGCTCTTCATAAGAATATAATTAACAAACATATGCATTATTTAGATATGCATCTCGACGGTTAGTCCATTATATATAGTCCACGTACGAGAGTCTAGCCCACACAATTTGGTCTCCACGATCTTGACATATTAGGAATAGTCACAATCCGTATATCTAAGAAAAATTAGGTAATGCGGATCCACTTATCGACAATCTAAAACATATTATCCATGGAAATTATAATCACATTTAGTGGTAAAACACGCAAGCTATGCATTCTTATACTAGCTACATTGAATTTTCCGGTGCCTAATTAAGCTTTAGCTTTCAAGTATTGTTCTTTAAGATGATCATTAACGTCTTCCCCACTAACACCACACAAAATCCCCCCTAAGAGATTTGACCAAGCTTTAAAGAGGGTATGCCA